TGGGCACGGCCACACTGGGGTGGGGGAGGCAGGGTGGTGGGACACTGGGCACGGCCACACTGGGGTGGGGGAGGCAGGGTGGTGGGACACTGGGCTTGGCCACACTGGGGTGGGGGAGGCAGGACCAGAGGAGGATGGACAAAGAGGAAAATGGAGGGTGCTGGTGCCGGGAAAGCTGGGCACTCTCCAGTTTCCCGCGAGTTACCTGTGAGGCCTGGGGGTCCTGGCAGTCCGGGCAGTCCCTTGGGCCCTCCAATGCAACCTGGGGAGAGAGGAGAAAGGATGAGCAGGGCCACCTTCAACACTGAGTCTCACGGCCTTGGGGATTACCCAGATCAAAATAGCAGCCATGTGAACCGGCTACCATCTTATGATCAGAGTAATTTAGTGATTTAACTAATTTAGGTTCTGATGCAAATAGTTTAATTTCACCGTGTAATGAAATCACACTATTAACTTGAAATGCAAATTAAGTCTGGCTAAGTCTGGCTGAACAGAAACTATACTGCAGTGAGGAACAGCTCACTGCCTTGTGCAGGGCGCTAGTCTCAGGGCGCATTGGCCAACTGGATCTTCTGCTGTTAGTGTGGATGTCTCTCTCCTCTCTCTCGTCTGCAAGTGTCTGTCGGGGATGCAGACAGCTTGTAGTTTCAAAAGGAATTCACCTTCTCCTCTGTGACTTTGAAGACTTCCAGAATGAATCATGGCACCTGCCCGCCTGCCTTGAGCAGCACAAGATACATGTGGTAGCCTGGCCGGGAGCAGGGACATTTTGGCAGGGGCACTTTGTCACCTGGCTGTCTGAGATTCCTGGAGACCGCTCCTGCCTGCCAGGCTCTGCCCTCTATGGCCTCTGGCTTAGTTTGTGTCTCCCTCTGTCCCTACCAGGAGGTTACCCGTAAAGCGTGGTCCAGACCAATCTGCTAGCAGAAATCAAGTGTGGCTCATTCCTTCCAGGACCAGAGGAGGATGTGAATTTATAATATTCCTCAAGGAGCAGTTGGAGCAGCTTGTCCACTACGTACAGTGCTGCAACCATGCTGCCTTTAGGAGACCGTGGAAAGTCCTGGCTGCCTGACGTCCTCACCTTTACCCCATGGCTTTTAGCTGCTCATGGCCTGGACCACTGTAGATCTTGGCGTGGCTCAGAATGGCTATACACTCAAGCTCTACGGTGCTGGGAACACAACCAGGACGAGATTTCCTCATGGCCTGAGCCCCCTATCCCTACTGGGTGTGAATCCTAATGTGGCCGGAAGCTCTTGGCCCAGCATCAGTGGTTTGGAGACCCCCCCACCTGGTGGGAATGCCTCCTTAGACATCCCTGTGATAGGCCATGACAGGTGCCACCACCCCACATGCTTCCTCCTGGCCCTGCAGGCCCTTCCCCTTGTGCTGCCCCTCCAGCGGCTCTCACAGCCTCCTACTTACCACCTGCTGAGGCCCAGGACATTCCTGCCCTGGACTTCAGGCCACCTGTGCACAGGCTCCCTCCTCCCCACTGAGACCCAGAGGGCTCTGGCTGGGTTGCCAGCTCCCATGCTCACAGTGCTGCCACATGTTCATGGTATGTGTGTCCGGCCCTCACACCCCCATTCTCAACTGTCTAGGGCAGCTCCCCTTGGGCCAGTACTCATACTGTCCCAAGACCCTCTCTGCCCTTCACTGTACCTGCAATGCCGTGTCTCCAACCTACTTAATGCAAAACAGTCCCCTGGGGCCTTGTTGGCACCTCGCTTCCCTCCCACCACCAAATGGGGCATTTCCAAGAGCTCTGGCTTTTTCTATTCTCTACATCAGAGAATATGAACTGAGCAGGCCAGGGTCTTGAAAAGGAAGGCAGCTAGACGTTTTCTAGAGGGGCCTGGTCTCCAGACAGCTCTGAGCCTTCTAAAGCTACCTGGCCTTCCCCACAGTACCTGGCTGGATGGTCTCTTGTCCATCCTTTCCGATGGGCCTTTTCACACCAGGGTCACAATCTGGGGGAGACAGAATGGAAGAGTGAGGCGGTTTGGAACAACAGAGAGCTGCTGGCTCAACCCTGGGGCATGCGTGTGTGCATGTGGTGGGAGGGCTGGGTATGGGCATCAGCTGCTGTGCAAAGACTCCACCACTTCCACCCCGGGGGAGAAGCTCCGCATTCCAGCTGTTGGGAGGAGAGGGTGGACAATCCTCTGTGCAGGGGGAACAGGAGGTTGTCACCTGAGCCCACGAGGGAATCTGCGTACTGGCAGGAGGAGTAGGGGACATGGAGGCACCAGGCTCGTGTCCCAGAAGCAGAATAGGAGGATTCCTTTGTACCTATTTGTCCTGGGGTGCCGGGGGGCCCAGGAGGTCCCAGGAAGCCTGGTGGCCCTGGCAATCCAGCATCTCCAGGGAAGCCGCGTTCGCCTTTCGGGCCCGGTAAACCCAGTCCTGGAGGCCCCACATCTCCTGGAAGGCCCTTGGTCCCGGGTGCTCCTGGATAGCCCTGGTCCCCTGGGGGGCCTTTGATGCCATCACCCTGCATGAAAATTCAGTTTATCTCCTAAAACACGTATAAACAGTGAAGACAGCCACTGATTCCCAGTGTCCTTTCCCTGATTCCCAGAATTCTGTGCTGTGGACACGAACAGAAAGATAATGAAGATTACAAGTAACCTACGGTCATGGTCTAACCCAGTCCTAGAGTTGGCTACCGAGTCTGCAGCAGGCATGTGTAGCAGCGCTGGCATGCACCTGCCTCTGAGTGTTTATCTTTCTCTCCCCACCCACCGGCTGCCCTGCACCAGCTTGGGCCTCCACTCATGGAAGGTTTCTGTAGCACAGTTAGGGTGAAGGCTGAGGAGCCTGGAGAGGGATTTGTGATTGTGCTGCTGTAATTCAGCATTGGTGACACACCTGCTGGTCACAGGGTGATCTGTGGGTAAAGGAAAGGAGGCTGATTTAGAGAAGAGAGTGTGGCATGCTCCCTGGAAACTGGAGGAGGAGACTGCAAGGTCAGAGAAGGAGAGGGGCTGTGGTCGTCCCATGTCCTGTGAAAGAAAGTGCCACCCAGGTGAGTGACTGAGGAACAGGCTTGGCGATGGCAGCACTGCCAATGGAAGCCAAGGATGGGGCGCTGGCTGCTCTGGGGACAGAGAGAGAGGAGTGGCCTGCCAGCAGCTGGGCTGGGATGGCAGCCAGGTTTAGCATGTGGGGCTGTCTGACCCATGCTAGGAGGTGCGCTCCTCTGGGACACCGACGGCCACACAAGCCACCACTGTCGCCGTGACCAGTCAAGGCTCATGCTCAGGACATCCACACACCCCACACCACCATTCCAATGTGACTGATCTCTGTTAAGAAGGAGAGATGAGTAGCCACAGACAGACATGTGTGGCGGGAGACCATGTTAAGAAGTGGGGAGGGCACCGTTGCTCAGCCAGGAAGGCAGGGAGTGGCTGGGACAGAACCCCCAGCTTCGGGGGGAGTGGAGGTGCCAGCCCCATCGACACTTTGGTCTCACTCTCCCAGACAACTTTCTGCTGTGTAAGCTGCACACAATTGCCAGAACGTGATACAAACAGCTGACCTAGGCAGAGGCTTGATAGCCACAGGCAGGAAAATGTGACTGGGGAAAGGTGAGGGGCAGCCTTGCAGAACCTGGAACAGAGACAGTGTCAGGCTGCTGGGAGAAAGGGCTGTGCACACAGGGTCTCGTCCCTGCTGGCCCTCGG